AGTCTCATTTGGTTTTACGGGGCTGTCCACTCCCAGGCTGAACGGTGAACCTCGGAGATAACTTCATCACTGAGCTAAAAGGGTGTCTGGTATAAGAGTACAATTTTATATTTTTTCCATGTAGTGAGGCAATTATCCCACCACCATTAAGAGTCTGTCCTTCCCCATTTGATACTGATATTTTCCTCTCGCCTACCCCCCGCGCCCATATTTCATCTATATGATAATGTCCTTATCAATATTATACTTAGTATTTATGGCTTTGCAATTGAATATGTTGTAGGGTGAATACCTCGTCTTGTCCATTTCTTTAAACTAGACTTTATGTGTTAGCGCAGTTTTAGTTTACAGAAAAATTGTGTAGAATGTACAGCAAGTTCCCAAGCCCTCTTCTCCTTCCCCCTTCCCAGTTTCCCCTATTATTAACATCTTACACTAGCATGATAATTTATTACAATTGATGAACCAATGTGGATACCTTATTAACTAAAGTCCATAGTTTACATTAGGGATCATTCTTTGTGTTGTACAGTTCTGTGGGTTTTGACAAATTCTTAATGTCATGAATCCAGCATTACATTATCAAACAGAATAGTTTCACTGCCTTAAAAACCTCCTGTGCTCTGCATATTCATCCGTCCTCACCTCTCCCTGAACCACCTTGGTAATACCCCTGATGTTTTCACCGTCTCCATATGTTTTCATTTTCCAGAACATCATATAGTTGGAGCCACAGAGCACTGGCTTTCACTTAGCAGTGTGCATTTAAGGTTTCTCTGTGTCTTCATAGCTTCGTGACCCATTTCGTTTTACTGCTGAATAATATTGCACTGTATGGTTGTACCAGTTCATTCGCCTGTCGAAGACCATCCTGGTTACTGTTTTTGCAGTTATGAATAAAGCTGCTGAAAATGTTTACGGGCAGGGTTTTGTGTGTAAGCTTTCAACTCATTTGTGTAACTACCTAGGCGTGTGACTGCTGGATCGATTGCTAAGACTATGTTTAGTTCTGTAAAAAACTGTCTTCCAAAGTAGCTCTACCATTTTTCTTTCCCACCCGTCGTGAATGAGAGCCCTCTGCCCCACATCCTCTGCAGCATGTGGTGGTGGTGTTTTGAATTTCAGCCGTTCTAATAGTTGCGTGAGGGCAGTGGTGTTTCCGTGGTGGAATTCTTGCCTTTAGTGCTTCCTCACCTTGGGGAGATTGCCACTCTGCCTGGGTTGCATCTCTGGTCCGTAGCCATCAAGTGCTCCTAAGACAGAAAGCCAGGATGATCATGCAGCCGAACGTGTTTCCTTTCTCCCAAGGATCATCTTGTGCCACTCTGCACCTGAGAACAATTGCCTCATATTTTTGTTCAGTTTCATAGTTGTTTGGGCAGGAGGCAAGTCTAGTACCAGTTACTCTGTCCTGCTAGAAGTGGAAGCTATGTGGGCTTAAATGTATATGAGTTAAGATGTGCAAACCTTTGGTATAAACAGTAAGAACCTATACAAATATTTGTGTTGTAATGACACCTTTGTCCCATGAGGATTTATAATCCATGTAGAGAAGACAAAGGTTGGGCTTGAAATCTTGGAAACCCTACCTGTGGTTAGGTTTCTGAAGCTTCTAGCAGTCAGATGTACATAATGTATCGTAAAATTCCCTACAAATATATATGATGTAGTCACATTTTTTTCTTCCCTTACCCTTGCCCATCCTCATCCCACCTATTGTATTGTGTTTAAAAGCTCTAAATTTTCTTCTTGGGGAGGACTTCTTTGTCATGAGAAAGGAAATCTCCCAAGCCTGTGGAAGGAAAACATCCACAGGACATCTTTTTTCCTCTTTAATTTGAATTCCTCTTCTATAATGGAATGAAGGCCTGTTTACTCCTAAAATGATTATTTTGGTACACCTCCATTCTTATAGATTATCAGATTTTAAAGTCCTTTGGGCCAGAAACAAAATTAAGAATCATTTGTTCCTTCTGCTTTTTGTTTCTGTAATACTATGGCAGGATAAACTTTATAAGCAGAGGCCAAATTGTTTAAAAGCAAGGACTGGAGAGTACTTCTAAACCAATAATTATAGTACCTGCCTTTGGTAAGTCTTTTTTTATGTGATCAAAGAAATTTGGCCTGTGCCCTGTGTTTAACCTGATGGTTATCATTCTCTATAGTGTGGAGGACTTTGGTGCTCAGACTCTTACAAGGGACATAAACAAAAGAAAGTTCACTCTGTAGACCTTGTCAGAAGGTAGTGTGAACACCAGTCAAAACAGTGAACCGTATCCTAAGTTTTTTTACGTTAATTGCTAAAAGGGAGAAGCTGATGGCTCCAGTCAGATAATGAAAAAGTATAATGTGAATTTAAATAGAGATGTAAGTGTGTAATGAGCATCTTTGCTTCCTGTGTTTGGGTAGCCTTGTTAGAAGAAGGAATTCTGGGACATCAACATCATGAAGAGAAGACATCTAGATTCTTTATCTTGGTGCCCTGCTATCAAGTCTACTGAGCAGTAACGCTGT